GAAGAAAAGAAAAGTTGAACTTTAATATCTAATAATAATTATTAGATATTAACCTATTATCCGTAAACTATATTTACAAATATTCTGTTTAAACATTTTGCAAAAAATTAAATATCAATGTTGCAAAAGAAATAGACCAATTTTTGCTTTTGCATATTATTAATGTCCCTATCAAAAATTTAAACGTAACTTTTACGTACTCCACTGATTTATATTTTGTATTTTTTTACTTAATTTATTTGCTATTGTATTATGCGCTATTATTTTTCAAGTATAATTGATATTCAGAAATAAAATATTCAATAAACCTAAGTCAGTGAAAAATCGCGATCTAGAAATAATATTATCAGTGTCATTTAATTATATATTAAAACAAATTCATTTTTCATCTGAATATATTAATTCTAAACAAAGAAATAAAAGAAATAAAAAAAATACTGAATGCTGATCAAAGTTGACGATTTTCAAGCGTTAAAACGCAACTGGTTGAAAGTCTAAACGCCAGCAAAGAAACCCCCGCATCCTTGTTATATTCCGAACAATATTCCACGATGCCGGGCGAATCGTTATTGCTCGTTTGGACATCGATCGGGACTGTAGTATGCTGAGGGGAATCCCAATAAGTCTCCTCCCAATTCATCTCTGTGGTATCGAAGGTGCCGATACGGACACTCTGCTTGGCATCAGGAGGAGTGCTCTCTCTCCTCTATCTCAAAACGACCAGAAGGAAGAAGCGAGACTGAAACGATGTGAGTAAGTGCCGAATGCCGAAGTAGAACGTAATGTTCTTTACGCGCGTGGATCAGACTGGTTCAACGTATAAACGATGGCCGATAAATAAATAACGCGGGGAGCCGCTATCCGGTCGGCGGTTGAGCAGCAATAAAGAAAAGTAACGCCGGGACACCCGTGAAAGAGAATCAATTCGATTCGTCTTACTACTTTTCTCTCTCCCTCTCTCTCTTTCTCTCTTTCATGCCGGTGTCTTTTCCCTCACTTCCCATTCCACCCTCGACGAGTTTCATGCCGCCCCACGATAGTCGTTTCTTTCCAATCCTCGACTTTCTCTACGACCCTCCTTCTCTCGCAACGCAACAAGTGCGCCCCGAATCGCATCTTTAAGAAAGCGGTCTCGTACTTGCCCCCCCTCCCTCCTCCCTCTCTGGGGGGATCTCACCCAGTTTTCACCACCTCCGCCTGCTCGCTTCCAACCCTGGCTCGAGTCACCACCTAACACCCGCCGAGCGTTTTCCTTCTCGTCTTTTTCACCCCGTCTTTTTCAGTCTCGTTCGTTCCTCTTTCTCACTTTAAGCCATTTCTCACCCATCCCCCTTTTTGGCCAGGCCACAACTATCTTCCAAATCACTCCGCACTTTCTCTGTCTCTTGTCTTTCCGTTTTCTATCTGTCGCTTTCTCGTTTTTCCTATTATTCTTTCCTCGGAGATGGCTCACGCGCCGTTCATCCAAACGGTTGCCAACCACTCTCCAACACTTTTCTCGTCTGTCCGCTCTTCTCCTCCCTTCTCCTCCTTCCCCCCCCTGATGAAAATCATCTCTTGTCATCTCTTGTTTTTCATATTCTTCACACGATGGTACGTTTCACGCATACGTGCACAAAATGAAAAGATGTAGCGAACAGACTCAGCGAGCGAGATTGACAAAGACGATACTGAAAGATAAACTTCGCGACTCGACCAACACGAATCTGAGACGCCGATTCATGAACTTTTGCGACCACGAAACGATGCAATAGTCTAAAGAAGCACCATAAGATTTAAAACATGGAATGATTATTTGCTGTGCTATCTCGTTAGAATAATCAATGTAATCAGAACAAGGTATAAATATATATATGTACGAATTATCGTACTCTGTGGAATTTTGAAAAGACTGCTGTATCTTATTATTGATTAAAAGTTATAAAAATTATTTATAATATAGCTTAGAGAATAATTTCATTAAATAAGTCGGAAAAGAAAATTAAAAAAGATCGTAAATTTGATTAAGATATAAAATTAGAAAGAATACGAATAAAATATTATATTTTTATAGCTATATATTATTTAAATTTAATTTGAAGAAAAACTTTATCGCAGATGTACGATTAATCATAAAAAAATATGAATCTTACGTAATTTTAAAATATGTTCTATTAAATATAGAAGATATTATCTCTTTTATATTTCTCTAATAATTTTATAAAAAAATTTATTTCAATCTACAAAAAATTAAATTTATTTGCAATATAAAACATTTACTTTCAGTTACGAAATTATTGCATCACACTTCACATTACAGCTATTAAATTTGACATCAAATAATTTAATGGAAATTTTTTTCTCTAGAGTTTCATATTTCTGCGACAATATTTTCCTCTCTTTCTTTCTTTTTCACATACACTACTGTCTCTAAGTTATTTTTTCGGATTTTCCGAACCTTGATACTTAAATCCACATTTAATACTGTGAAATAAAACGTCGGATTTGGTAGCTGCCAATAGGCAGGAAATTTAACGAATATCGGCGCGTTACAACGTACTACATGGACATCTGTGACCCTGTCGAACGCGACGTTGGATCATCATTCGTTGAAACACGCTGAATTTATTGGGGGTTTAATGCCGCGCGGGACGTTTATAGGAGCGCAATAAATAAACTCGAGCGCGCTGTTACGAGTGACAGGAACGTTACCAGAGGCCGAAGAGCGTTGCGCATGGGGAACATTGTATTGCAAAGCCCGGGCGCAAAAATGCCAGCCCGATGCAACCGACTGCCATTTTCCCTGACATAATTGCAACGCGCTGCGATTAATTAGAAAGTTCAAACAGTCAATTTCACCGAAAAAATAAATTTTCGAGGATAACTTTTTAAAGATAGATATAATTGCGTGTGTTATTTATTATATATTTATGTACAATATTATATATTATAATATGTGAAGAATTGGAGAAGAAAAGAGGTGTAAATTAAATATAATATTTGATTATAAATATTATATTTAATTTACACCTCTTTTTTTCTCCAATTCTTCACATTATTTAACACCATTATCAGAATACTATAAAAAAAGACACGATATAGTTCTGTCAACTATCGACTATCTTGGCAAGATTATAAGAAAACTGTCCGACTTTATCTGATTTAGAAGTAGCGAGTAACAATCAGAAAGCGCGTTGACGCATCGTCGTCTTGGATCCCGGGGACGCGTAACTTGTCGAGAACGGCACGATGATCGACGAAGCGCCCGAACGGATGTCCCGGTTTAACGATCGGGAAATTCGACGAAAAGGAAAGTTATTAATGACCAAAGTTGGGCGAGCGTCGGGGATGGGTGGGCGTGAGCGCGACGGGGTGAAACTCTCTCGATTACAAAGCGCGCGGGCGAGAGCCGGGGATACAAATTGCGCCCGAAAGTTGCCCCGCTGCTCTATAGCGGGATAATGGATCCCGGAATAAACGAAACTGCCGGCGGGGCAATAATTTAAGCGGATTCCACGCCACGCGGTGGCTCACGGTTTCGTCACGCGGTTTCGAGCCGAGTTCGACGTCGAGTCGAGCAAGCGAGGCTGCGAAGTGGCAGGAAATCAATCGGACACCCCGGGACACCTCGAGGCCCCCCCGTAAAACGAGAGGATTCGTAACCTCTCTCGCGTCGAAAGAGAGGGAGAAAAACGAACCAGGATTGTGTTCGGAAAGTAACGAATACGGCTGCGGCGCCTGTAAAACGAGACTCTGCAAAAATCGAATAAAAAGTACGATTAGTCTGTATAAAGCAAGGTTTTCGCGAAACTGCGGCGATTCGCATCCCGATGTAATCATTCCCAGTTGCGGCGCAATGAAACATTTATCAATGTATTGATACTAAATAATTACGGATATTTATGGATTTTTATGGAATTTTAGTTTAAAATAGATGTAATAGAATATTAGACATAGAATATTATAATGAAATTTTAAATACGCGCTGTAAACATAGATACAGATTATTCAATTTTTCTATTTTTTTTTTTTTTTTTAATAAAACATCTTAGAAATTTTTATTCTATCGCAAATTGTGCCTCTTGTCACTCCATAATAATTTCCATATTAATTTCTATGTCGTGTCATTTATAATTGCGCTTAACGAGCAAAATCAGAATGAAATAACAACATTTCATAAATAAATGCATCTTGAGATTCGCACTATTTATCTAATTTTTTTTCATGCTGCTTCGTTTATCTCTTCCTCTTTGTTTTCCTCTCTCGTTCTGACGAGAGAGAGAGAGAGAGAGGAAAAAAAACTTTTGTGAATGTAATAATAAATTGGTCAAATCGTTTGTTACGAAATGTAAAAAGCGCATTGCGAATTCATACATCTGAATTGTAGAACGGGAGCACGCTTGTAATAGAACGACGCGTTTTCCGCGCGAGAGCAACCGTATGTGCGGGTTACATCTGACGCGGTAAGCGGTGCGCTGTTACATAACATTGTTAAATTCTACGTGTGACCTGAAATAGTTGCGTCACGTACGCCATCGTACGAGAATCGCGCGATCCCCGGGTGAGGTTCGTATCGTTACAACGGTGGGATCATGTCAATGGCATTAATTTTTTCTTTCCTCCTGTTTTACAAGACGCGCGCTTCGTAGATTAATGCGAGTACAATTTTATTCGGGCTACTTTGATCGATTAATAACGCGAATTATATAAGTTACACTGTGTATAACGTCGAGCCTATCTCGCGCAACACGAGATTCCACGTTAATTATCATCGCGAGAGCTATTACACGGTCCTCCCGCCGCTCTCATTTCGAGGATTCATTAAATCCGGGCATCGAGCCCGGCAACTCGAGCGATTTAAAACCGATGAAATTGATTTTTAAAGAGCACGACCGAATTAGCATCGTAACGAGAGCGCGCGCGAGACGGGATCATTTGCATGGGCACGGCCCACCGTCCTTGGATTCGTCCTGAACCGGAGTACCTATATTGCGTGTAGCCTCCCTCGTGTTCTTACTTACCGCGAACAAGGATGAGGATGCTGAACAGCAGCGCGGTGCTGAACGGCCAACCGGCCATCCTGGCGTGGAGCGTTACGTCGATTCAGCTTCCTCCTGAAACAATACAAGCGTGCCCAATCAATCAACCTATTCCGCTATACCAGAGCCAACTTCGATCCCAACCCCTCCCAATCTCTCCTCTCTCTCTCTCTCTCTCTCTCTCTCTCTCTCTCTCTCTCCTCTCTCTCTCTCTCTCTCTCTCTCTCTCTCTCTCTCTCTCTCTCTCTCTTTCTCCGCAACCCTTCATCTCTCAGCGCAAACCCGTTGTCTGTCCCGTGTCCTCATCGTTCGGTCCTCGTCCTACCTTTCGATTTCTCTCCCCCAACCACCGTCCCCTTTTCTGGCAGCATGCCCGTTCCACGTCCAACCTTGCCGATCCCCCTTCCCTCTCCACCATTCAACCCTGTTCCGCTTACACGCCAATCCCCTACGCCCCGTATCGACATTTTTTTTTCTCTCTCTCTCTCGAAACCATGCCTGGAGGGGGGCTTGTTCGTTCAATGAAAGTCCTCCCAGACGGTGCACGTCGAGCGACGTACATAATCGTGAAACATGCGATGCGTGCCATTGGCTTGGATATCGGAAATGCCCCCCTCTTGCATTTATTTGCGCGTTTTTTAGCCGCTCGACGCGAGCCGCGGAAGTCCTCGACCTCACCGAGATCCTTGAACAGCCCTCGTTGGATAATTCTAGGGATATTTGGCATATTTGAGATATTAAAGATAATTAAGGTTTAATGTAAAGAACCATATTTCTGAGACATTAATTCAAGATGAAAAATCTTTAATTTTTTAATGTTAAATCAGGAAATTGGATTAATAATATTGTGAAAAGCTAATTATAGATTCTGTCACAGCTCGATAATATCGTTTTACAAAACATCGCTAGAAAAATGTATGTATTATGTTTAATATTCAGATAAATTTTATTTTCGAAATCAGAAAAATACAGAATTCGAATCAGAAAAATACAGAATCTCAAAATTAACTCCAATTTTTTCAAAAATCTCCAAAACACTTATAATCATTCAGAAATAATTTAAAAAATTCAGATATTTGTTCTCTATAGACAACATTTCTGTAATCCTGGAAATAGCTAAATCGCGATATATTATTATATAAATTAGTACGTTCACAAAATATTTTATCAGCGGATTTTATTAGTATCTGAGCAATAATATAAAGAAAATTTTAAATACACATATTATAAGCGACAACGTAAAACGTGATGAATGCGACATCGTTAAAAAAAAATACCAATCTGTGGTCGTGAAAATATTATTCGATGTTAATTATTACTTTTCGTATGCTATCTTGTTAATTCTTGTCAGCATCTTTTTTGCAGAGATAAAATGTCCACGTATTTTTTTTTATCATGTTCTTACAAATTTCGTTCAAAGAGGCCAAATCTGGAGCATTCGATTTGCTTGACAGAGCAGTTGCATCGTGGCATAGCAAAAGGGTAACTCACACAACCCCTATACACTTCGTGTACTGAACAATCTGCAATAGTGTACTGCTTTTACCGTTTTATAGCGCTCATCTCTCACTTCTTCGAGTATTTTTTGAGCATCTACTCGAGAAGAGAATAAAAGATATAAAAAAATGCACTTGCGGTTCCACTGAGAATAGGAGGGAGAAACTTACAAAGTAATTACAAGTAATGTTTTATGTACACATATGTAGAGCGTTCTATTTTAATTGAAGAGCAAATCCTCTAAATCCTTTAAATTTTAATGTACACTTTCTTCTTTTCTCTAATAAATCTCAAGATCTGGAAGATTTGCGTCGCGGAATAATTTATGAGAGATGAGACTTATATATATTATTAATTTAATCGGGACGGAATCTCAATTTCTGCTACTAATTGGCACATTGTCAAATTCTCTGTAAGAACAATCTTCTAAGCATTTAACATCCAAATAGCTCTTTGGAAAATATTCGATTAAATTGGTAACATAATAAATATAAACTTTAGAATATATTTTAACAAAATTTAAATATTAGAAAAACTTTGCAGATTAATTTTAATTTCTACGTATATCTTTTAAATTTAATTATTATTATTATCTGCATTATTTTATTATGATTATAACTTTAAGGAATCTTAAAAGAAAAAGATGAATAAGTTCAGGAAATGTATATGTAAGCTGTCATTGCATTATCGATGAAATGAATCATTAGAATACATTTCTGTCCCGCTCCCATTAAATTTACAGATAGGATCGAATGTCCATCGTATTATTTTCTAGTAATGAAATGTGCAAACTGAGAGAGAGAAAAAGTGAACACAAAAAATAGATAAGGAAAATCGATTGACCGAATTGGACTTAATAATACACAACGACAGGTAACCCAATTTCTAAGAAAATTGTTGAAGCTTTCAAGTATATTTGAATCGAGATGTTTTTAAAACGATATACATCAGAGTGTGCACAGAGAAAATCTATCTGTGTAGAAATTGCACGATAAATGAATATATAATATAATTATATAACTATAATTGTATATAATTATAGTTATATAACCAATCAAAAATAGGGATTATAATTCTTAGAAATATAGCACTATAATAATATTCGATAGATATTTCTTTGATAAATATATTTCGATCTAAGAAGAAGCTTGTTTTTTACTTCTTCATTTCAATAAATCTTATTAAACTAATTTCTACAATTCGATTATATTATTTATGGAAATATTATTTTAATCTTATAGAGCATTTTGTTGTGCGAGTGTTGGAATAATTTGATTTATGTGAGCGTTTATTAAGTTATCGAGTTATCAGATTATTTAAGTATCGTTTATTTTGAGAAATCTGTTTTGGGATATATTTTCATATAACTTTTGCAAAGAGAGATCAAATAATTTGTATACGAAAAGAAATATTTAATTAAAAAAATATTTAATTAAATTATATTATATTATATAATTTAATTTTATAAAATTTATTTTTAATTATAATTTTATCTTAGTTTATAATTAAATTTTAGTTTTTTATATCCTGGGAAAAATATTATATATTATTTATTAAAATTTCTATTATAATACATATGAAATTAAAAATGAGTCAAGCTTCTCATAAAATTCTTTATTTCATAATTTCCACAAGCATTAGTATTAATTGACAAAAATCTTTTTTCTGAAAATAGTCAGTTGTTATTTACTGTTGATTGAAACATTGAATTAAAATTCCAGTGCATTGAATTAAATTTCCTCAAGAAAAAAAAGTTTCCTCGAAACTGTCTTTTGTGAAGATTCTAAAACTCTAAGTATGTACTCATCCCATAGAAAGTATCGTAGAATTTAACATCTTTTGTAGCACAAGATACAAAACTAATTAACACTTTACGGTTTCCGTAATCGCGTAGTGATATTAAAAATGATATTAAACGTAACATCATGGCGATGTTTATATTTAAAGATACGATAACGGGAATAGAGGAAATTAGATGCACGTGTTGGAATGCGAGAGCGGTTGTCTATAATTTAAGCAGCGGCGCAAAACGTAGGGAATAAAATGGTAAACGCGTAAACTCGCCTTCCTAAATCACTTGTCCGGGGGGAATATTCCATAAGGATTAAACTCAGGTGCGATGAATCAAATTGCGCGGTGGCGAGCACGTCGAACGAATAATCGCGAAAATATCGACTACTTGCTGTGCTTCGAATCGCGCCCGACCTCACGTATCTTCCTGCGAGATTATTCGCTTGAATAATACAGTACTTCCGTGCCATACACACACCAAGCCAGATGCAGATTTCGTTCTCATAAGCTACAGTAGATTTGTTTTAAACTTTCGATCATCGCGGAATTGCTGGGAGATTATATCTACACGCCCCATACACACAGCTCGAGATACAATATACCTCTAATTAAAAGTCATTAATATATATCATATATTATATTATAAAAACTGAGAGCTGAAATAGAAAAATTATTATATATATCGTATTATTAATATTGAATTATTTATATTCTGGATGTGTCAAAAAATATATAAATAATATGTAGTTAATACTAAAAATATATAAAATATATTAAAATATTAATATATTATATATCATATTAAATTCTAGAAACTGAAACCGAAAAATATCATGATATATTTATATAACATATAAACAATATATAGTTAAAATACAAGTATATAAGACAGATTAAAATAGATTTGTAACGAAAAAGATAACACACCAGCTGAAATAAAAGCAAAAAATATTTTCGTAGAGTTTTCAATTTCAGTCTAATTATTTTCGCACCTCCGTACCGTGGATGCGGATCGTTAGCGTAGCGGATTTTTTTTACAGGCTGGCCGCATTTTAAAGCGCGTTCAAAGGTCTCGACAGGGTATATTCATTCATCGGCGTTACTACGGAATTAATGTTGGCCGGAATAATGGAAGGGAGGAAACAATAGAGAACGCCGACGACAACAACGAAAAAAGATGGCAGCGATGGCAACCATGGCAATGTAGGGTTTCACCCTACGACATCACTATCATCTCGTCGCCGACGTTAAGAATACGTTCTTCTGCTCGAATGCGAACTACCTCCACGATTATTCTTATTCTTGGCTGCTCTTGCTCTCTTCAGCCTTGCTTCTTCTTCGTCATCGCATTTATTCATTCGTCCACGATCTCTTTTTACGTCGACGATGTTTCCCTCTCTCTTAGATGTTTTACCATCGTTTCAGATATCTTACGTATGTATGTACAATGTAGATCGCGAAATTGCAAAGATTATAATGGTTGCGACATTATTTGCATTTCCGAGAACATGACAGACGACTCGAAGATAAATAACAAGGAATTTTATTGTCGAGTTGAATAAATTAATAATATAAATCCAATAATAACGAGTCAATTTTTAGGAAATGCAATAAATAATTAAATATAAGGTTATTTTATTTTCATTCAAGAGGAAATAATACAATTGGAATAAAATCCAAATCTTTTTTCGCATATAATCAATAATATAAATAAATAATATAAATTAATAATATAGATTTAATAGTGACGAGTCTATTTTCAGGAGATGCAAAAATAATTACTTAAA